CCTACGAATATTTCACCTTCGGTAAGGGATAATCTATGGAAGACATTGCTTGAATGTGACATTGGTTTACTCAATGCTGATGATCTCAGAGGAGCTGCGAGCGTAGCCACGAGCTTTCTTCACCAAAAAGACACACAGAACGCAGGAGCTTCATCAGCTTGATCTATTAAAAGTAACCTTTGCATCAGCATTCTAGTTTTAGAGGCTAAAACCAGTCAATATATACCACAGTGTGGATCCAGTAAGCTTATACCCGACAAATTTGTTAACTTCACATGCATGTATTATTGGACTAAGGAGGCGGTGAAGGGTATCAAACTCGATTGAAAGACTGAATCACAGAATATGCCAAACAGAAAAATTTCTCTAAGAAAAAGGACTGAAGTTACTTAGATAAATATTCCCAACTTTAGTGCATCGTATCATTATGTAAGAGTGTGCCGCTTTTTGGTTGGTATTCTGAAACAAATGAAAGCCGAGAAACTTGTGCCTGAGAAGGCTATCTGTTCTCATTAGAGAGTGACTGAATAACTTTTTTTATATCGTTACAAGTCTATGGGAAGCAAATGCCATACAAACGTTGGAATCAGAGACTACAAATAGTAACGTGCTGTAAACTGTCAATTAAGTGGCAGAAACCCTCTGGCACCAAGCTATAACTGTTGACATAATAGCAATGGATTTAATTACAAAAGATCATGTTTCTGATAGGGAAAGAGGATTTGGATTAATTTACGGGACAGAGAGGGAGGGATAGACCTCCTTTTATAGAGTATCGATTCCTACCACCTGACCTCTACACACTTGCCACACAGACCCTTCGGTCGGCAATAACATTGGACTCTTCTTATGCATAAAATTACTATATTGGCCTGGATTTGACACGCTAATACAGACCTTCTCAGTATTCTCTCTGAAGGGCTCACCCTATTTGATGGAAACCCTGAAACAGAGGCTACAAATTGCGCAAATCATAAATGTGATATCGACGTCACCCAGTCACGCAAAAATCTCCAACAGATATCCTCCCATTTCCTATTGGAGTATAATATATACTACCGATCGCCGAAAAAACTGATAAATCTTCCCCAAGCCAATTCTACGACATATCGCCATTTAACCATGACAATGCCGTTCCCGGCCCTCACTATATACATACCCCAACTCCTTCACTATTTGTATATATCTTATCGAAGAAAATTATTTGTTCGTAGTTAGATACTAGCATCTGCTAGTACATACTAGACCTACCACTCACATTGATTTTGATGGAAGTGACTCGATATCCGACTCTGATGGAGGCCAATAGCTAGCAGAACCAAGTGCCAGCATCAGTGGAAGTAAGAGGCGTTACGAGCGTGGAGCTTTCTGCAGGGTAAAAACCCTGCACCATAATTAATTTGTTTTTCTCACTAAGGGACAGTACGGTTTACTATAGTGTATCTAGGTCCCATGTTCTGCTTGCTATACGACGATAAAACATTGGGACGAATACGGGCTTGTAGCTATGAGCTTAGTCCCTAGTCTATTTTAAGTACTGAGGTAGCCAATCCATATCTCCCGTACATTCAAGGTGGCTTACTATGATCCATACTACAAAAATCCATTAAACAGAACGGCTGGTACGATGGCGCAATAACTCCTTGACTGTCTAGTAATGGTCAAACGGGGCACTGCTGGGGTCGTGTGTCCAGGGTAAATGTGTCTGGATTTGCGATCCCCCATCCAATGGTCTTGATATGCATCCATCATGGACTATTTATAGGTGCAGGTCCCTTTGAAATAGGGTCTATATCTATGGCGATGATTTTATCCTTGTACCCACATTTTAATATTCTCTTTCTTATTTATCCAAGACTGCTCCATGTACACGTGCTGAAAATTTATCAGTTGAGTACGTATCAAAAGGTTGAATTAGTCCTGGTATTAACAGTTGTGTATGTCGTATATGGATGTTTGCAGGCACCTTGCCGATCATGCAGTTGTATGAAACCGCAGTTTACGGCAGGTTGCAGAAGCTCAATTACCGTATAAATCGATTCGGATAGGGGCGGAAATATGACCGTGCGTCGAGGGTTCGGTCTAAAGCTAAGCTATTAAGAGGCGCGCGTTACGCACCAATACAGCCAACGCCAAGAAGTATGAGCTACACCATAGCTTAGAAGCATGTGTGAGGAACGAATACAGGAGTTCTCTCTGAATGCTTTTGTTCATCAAAAAGCCTTCGCCTCCCACAAAAATTCTAAATATATCGCAGTCAGTATTTCAGTATCTATAAAACTAGTATCTACCCATCGGACTATCTGACGAATTTCGAAATATTTAAAATTGTTTGGACAGACCCCATATTCACCTTAAAGTTATCCAGAAAGTCTCCTTCCAACCATTTTCATTTCTACACATCCAAGCATGAAATTCAAACCGGTTATCAGTGATAAGCCAAATATCCACAAATACCGAGTGCGGGATGTCACAATTTTATCTGCCACTGTTATCACATGTACCATTTTATTATGTGTATTTATGAACTACGGACACCTTTCTCTTCTGTTCAAGATTCCTATTTTCCCCAGTTATGACCCTGTGAGCCACGAATACTTCTACTCGGTGAGGAAAATAACGGAGAACGTCAAGGATATCCTCCCAATCCATTCGCATAACGATTACACGAGGAGTATTCCATTATTTCATGCCGTCAAATATGGATGCAAGAGCTTTGAGGCGGATATTTGGCTCAAAGATGAGAGACAAAGCTCAGCAGACCCCGAATACGTGGCTTTCCTTTCGGGAAAGCCACTTACTAACCATACCAACGTATCGAATAAGCAGGAGTTGTATGTGGGCCACCACAGCACCAACTTGAACAAGTATGAGACGTTGGATTCGCTCTATTTGGACCACTTGATGTATATGTTGGACGAAATGAATGCGAACAACAATGGAACAAAGAAAAACAGCATCTACGCAAACATTCCACAAGAAACGGTCTACTTCGTTGTTGATTTCAAGACCCACGCCAACCCCACCTTCGACGTCTTGAGAGAAAAGTTGCAGCGCTTTATCACGAAGGGATATTTGAGCTATTATGATTTTACCAGCAATACGTTCGTGGAAGGTCCCTTGACGGTGATCATCTCGGGGTTCACCCCTAGCACGGATTTCCTTGAATACCG